ATTGAGTTTATTGAACAAAGCTGACTTGCTCTGTTTGTTGGAATGAGCATAAAACAAATTTTAAAAGGTGTAGCAGGAAAAGGGAAAAGTTGCAAGCTCCAAAAATCGGACAAGGTCGCGTTGAAAAGAACGGTTTAGGTGGAAAAAGGTAATATTGGTTTAGAAGCTTGCTGACTGATGCAGGAGAATGTCATATCATACAAATAGACTTTCGATCATAATCAAGAAATTTTCAGAAAAAAAAGTATGTCGACGACATTGGTTTCCAGGTATCCAAAATTTCAGCCATTTGTATTGAGTTTTGGGTAATCGACACCTTTGATAATGATTTGTGAAGCTCCTCACAATATCGCTAAAAAGATGTTTCAAATTAGGTCCATCCCTTTGAATATTCAGTAAAGCCAGCGCAGAGTTTTCCGACCTTGTGTAATGTCTAGTGTGCCTACTAATAGGCGCAGAAGTTAGTTCCATCCCGCCCAAAACTAACTTTCTCTTCTCAACATATTCAATCAGGTAGTGCTAAATTTCTAACTTAGCATCATTTTTCCAGTATACGCCCTACGCCTTGGATCATGTTGTCGTGAGATACATTTCTCTCTCTCATTGGACAGGTTTTCTTGCACTGATTAATTATCTGACCTCTATTACATGGACGTTGTGATACGCGTCTGTTGTTAGTAAACAATGCAAAGACTTTAGATGTGGCAGAGACGTATTTCCCTACTGCTTATTTTACTCTGCTACTCTATAGCGCAAGAAGAACATAGTGAAAACCAGACACCGAGCCGATTTCAGGTTCGCTACTGCTTACCTAGTCGAAGTTGTATTATGAAGCAGCGTTTTGATGATGGATACACTTTTTTGGAGCATCTCAAAATCAGCTACTGACTGCATATTTGTAAATACTTAAAACTCTTCTAGGTAATAACATTTCGATGGGAAGCCAACGAAACCCCGTATATGATAACCACATGGCTGCTTCTAGCAGCTTTGGCGAAAATTTGTAAGTAACTTGGTTTCTGACTTTTTCTTCTCACATTCAGATCTTTACATTTTTAATCTTTGTAGACCTTCCATGATGTTTTTACATCGGTTTTTGTCAAAGTGCCAGTGACAATCTTTGTTTTTTCCATTTTCCTAATTGGCGGTCTCCAAGAATCTTGAAGCAGTCGTACCTACATAGGGCTTCTAACCAGACATAGGGCTTCCACCCAGGCAACATCTGATTTATTGAACTATACTCATATTTTCAGTATTCCACATATTCAAACCGCTTTCCCTCCTGCCGGATTCCACACTTCTAATCACAGTGGGACTTTTGCTTGGATTGATTCTTAAGCAATCAGGAGCACATATCACCTACTCTCTGGATTCTCATGTGTTTTTCCTTTACCTTTTACCGCCTATTATTTTCGATGCAGGTAAGCTCCATAACCAGCTATGCTGCTCCTTGAGAATGCTGCACTTTTTTAGGCTACTTTATGCCTAATAGGGCACTATTCGAAAACTTCGAGTCTGTGCTTCTCTTCGCTGTAGTCGGAACTATCTGGAATTGCATAGCAATCGGTGAATTATTTGAAGGTTTTTTTTTAAAAACATTCGTCGCAATTGATTTTTAGTTAAGTTTAATGCAGAATGACGTGTATAATAATGTGATTTGCTACGCGCGTAGGAATTCTATCAGTAGAACTAGTCTGATCAACAGCGCAATAAGAAGCGCGCGTTCGCGTAATCTTCGCTATAGTTGCTGAAACTGTCTATGCATGATATATACAGAGAAGACTCAATTTGCAATGCATTTGTATTTTGGTGAAAAAGTTTCTCAAAATTGTATTATTGGGTCACAACAGACTATGAAATGCGATTCCCTGAACTCCGCAAAAAAAACCATAACTTAAGGTTTGAATGTTATGACCATTTGAGGTAGCGAGAAGACAAAAGGTGGTAGGGGGAAGGAAGGAAGTCAAAAAATTTTGAGAAGTAGCAAATATTTGATTGATCAAAGTGTTTACAATGAATCAGTCATTGTTTTTGAACTAGTTACTGAATCGATTACAATCGATAATGAATGGAATATAGCATGGAAGACAGATCTCACCCATGCCACCCTCTTTGGCCTGGTTTTCCTCCCAAGCCCTTCCCATAGAGCTTTCTGCTAACACCATTATTTGGTTGGCTAAGAGATAATTTCGGTGAACTTTGCGTTGTATGAAAAAATTGTTTTTTCTTAAGTTCCTAAAGCTAGTGAAGAGAGCATCATGGAGATTACAGCACCCATCTCCTTTGGATGCGTAGGTGGCTACGGGAACAAAAATTGGCATTTAGCAGTAGCGTCGAATCAAGGGACTTGATGCTCTGAGCGATGTAAAACGCATCCTAGAACATTTCGCAAAAATTCAAGATGCCAAAAATGGCTTTTGCGTAAAATTTGCAAGGATCATGCAGCAAGAAACCTCGATTTAAGCCAAATGTCCTATTATACTGCTTATCTAAGCCTTGTGGCTATCCTTTTTCGCATTCATCGTTGCACTTCTATTGGCACACAGAATAATTTCGAAAAATGAGAAAAGTAGCTTTCGGGGTGATCATCTATGTTCGAATACAGCCGTACTTCATCTTTTACATAGAAGTCTGATGTTTGACTACAACATAGCAAAAGGTTAGGTAATTGAATTTCTCGTATGTACTTGTCGACTGTGCACTAAAAATTAGCATTTACACCTTGAAGCGAAATTATCTCCTAGCCAGCATAACATATATGAAAGAAGATCGCAGCTTCTAAACGATTGTGATGATGACTTTCGGCTCTAGTAAAGTAACGAAGACATAAACAATCAATCTGTAATGACTTGCTTTTTAATTAGCCAGGCAATTTACAATTTACATATATTTTTATGCACTCTTTATGCAAAATTTCATTGCAGTAGGTTCATTCTTTTTTTAGCAGTTAAAGTCATAAAGTCGACATGGAGGATAATGATTAATGAGCAACAGTTCAAGATGTCTTTATGCAAGTTATTCTAGGTTTTTTGAGAAATTTGTTTTCAACTGTTCTGTTTCGCTCTATAGGTTCACCTGCAAAACATTTAAATGAAACCATGGTAGCCGACAGCTCCTGTTTGATTACATTTATGAAGTTTTCATTTTTTTAGCGGAATTTCATACAAAATTTATTTTAGAAATTTCCGAGAAAAAACCTTGTCTCCCGGTATAACAAGACTTGTTTGGTGTTTGCATCAGAATCATAGTCATAGTGTAATATCGCAGCTTCATAGGTTCTAACGTATTGCTCCAACAAAATATATGCAGTTTCGGGCCTTTCGACCAAAATTATTCTCTTAGTAAGTGCTTCGCAGTGTCCTTTCGAATTCTTATAAAGAGAAATCTGTTTAAGCAGATATTTTCATAAGAATGTGTAATAGCTTGAAGAGATTTCTCCCATTTTCGGACTTATGGTGATCAAATGGTTAAAGCAGAATCAAATGGAGTTTGAACGTCAGGCTATTCTTGTACAAATCCACAGATACTTTCGTACAAAACTACAAGCGGTCATGGAGCTATAGAAGGATTGTGCTACCGCGGATGTTCAAGTACTTAGGCGATATTTATTAGAATATGACATTTATTCTACGCATTCGTAAGGTAGTCTTTGCTAGATTAACGTATGTCTCTGATTGCACCAAATTGTCAGGGTTTCGTAATGCACTTAGAATTGTTTAGAGCGTATTTTTGCTTGATTTTGGCCAGACGAATTAAAGTGGTTTTGACAGCGAAACATCACGCTGTCTATAAGTTTTACAAAACATAGCGCAATCACCATGATGTTAATTAGAGGAGAAAGGCTGGACAAATTATGCGACAAGTTGCACAGCAAAAGTTCATCTTTCTATTCATTTTTTAGCAAATAAAGTTGTTTTGAATGTTCCAAAAGGCTGTGAAGGCTTTGAATACGCGTTAATCGAAGAAGAGAAGTTGGCAAAAACATCGGAGATCTAAAGAATTGATTTTTAAGAAGAACTGTAGAGTAAAACAACAAAATTAAAACAAAATCATCAAGTAAAGAATCCGCTCATAAAGGTAATTTTAATGCTAATTGTTGCAAAACTAGCTAGTATTCTCCATATCTTATCGTTGCAACTGCTAATGTAACAAAGGAACCATATTAGTGAAGCGCAGGCGCTGGCCTAAAGTTACAGTTGTACTTAAACAAGGATCTCGTTCTCCGTTTCATGGTAGGTTGGTACAAAATTTCGGATGGCTTAGTGTTAGGGTATATACGGTATAAATTCTCAAATTAATTTTTATCATTTTAATGAATAGGTAACTCTTTTACTTTGAACAAATTTAAATTCCTAAACTTTCGGTCCCCACTTTTCTTCCCACTCCCTTACCTTTCCTATTTGCCTTTCCCTTCATCCGCCGCTCAAAACGCTCATCTTAAATCTGCTTTTTATATTTACTAAAAGCTACTTTGAACCGATATGAAAGTTTCTGGGCGGAACTTAACGTGCGTGGTCTGTTATTCAATCTCCTAATAGTTTGCAAGGCCTAATTGGACAAATTGCAAACAATTAGGAGATTGAAATTATTATATTAATAAATATTCAAACCGTTTTCAAAGAAATTCCT